GCCAAACCTGCAGACGCTGCAGGTAAACAAACCATCCTGACCCACCAGCGGATTTCCCTGATGGGCTGTGTGCCAAAGGCTCCTGATCCCTGTGCTAAGGGCTGAATTCAATGTTAATTTAGGTTTTTGTAGGCCAGAGAAAAAAATTAGGACTCCATACTCCCCTCAATCCACAGCAATCTCCTGCTGATATCATTGGGAGGTTTCCAGACAGATCAAGGAGAGAATTATATAGCAATTGAATTTTTAGGTGTTATTTACTCAGTACCTTATTGTCAGATTCAGCAGCACTCTGAGAAAAATATGTTCCCCTTTATCACCACCACTGTGTCTGCTGTTTGCTTCTTTTCCTTCATAGTTTTGTAGAGTTTAAGGCCAGAAAGGACCATTAGATCCTCTTGTCTGACCTCCAGTATATCACAGGCTATTAATTTCCAGTCAATTCCCCTACACTGAGCCCCATAACGTAAATTAAACCAAAGCATTTTAGTCCTCCCTGCCTCCTTTTTCTATTTTCCTGCCTCTTTCTTGTCTGTCTCCTGGGTTCTTTCCTCTTCACTTCCTCCCTGCAGCGACTCCCACCTCCCTGTGGGCTTCACTGACCTGCTCCCCCATTGAATGATCAGCACTCCAATAGCTAGTTGATAATGAAATATCATTGGATCTTAGAGCGGACACCACAAGGAAATCAATAAGGTGCAGGGGAGTTGGTTTGCCTGAGTCATTGTCTCAGACTCTCTGAAGACTCAGGCAAACATTAGATTAGAACATTGATTTTATGAATGCCAATCTTACAACAACAAAAAACCACTTATACAGACCATTTCCCCCCCCACACACACACACACACAAATATCCACAAGCAGTGATTCTCAAACTTTTGCACTAGTGACCCCTTTCACATAGCAAGTCTCTGAGTGTGACCCCCACATAAATTAAAAACATTTTTAAATATATTTAACACCATTATAAATGCTGGAGGCAAAGTGGGGTTTGGCATGGTGGCTGACAGCTTGCAACCTCCCATGTAATAACCTCATGACCCCCTAAGGGGTCCCAACCCCCAGTTTGAGAACCCCTGCACAAGAGTAATGTAGACGAAGAACAAGTCAACATCCCTTTATGTTCTGATGCCTTCCTGGCAATGGCTTTGCAGTGGTTTGAAAGACAAGAGGAAAGTGATGCAGTGTACCATACTGCAACTTATGCACTGGGCCTACTGTCATTTTGAGATGTTCAGTTTTATGAACTCCTCAGTCCCCAATTAGTTAATGCTATAGGGGTTCTACTGCACTCAGTTCACATTTGGAAGCTTTTCTTCAGAACAACAGGAACTAGAAATGTACCTTTAAAAAAAATAAAGATGAGATTCTGAACAATCTGAATATGTCCTTCAGATCACATACATACATACATCAAGCTGACCATAAAGTGAACAGCACTGCTCTTTGGTGATGAAATCCTTGGTGCAACTGTGGCATCAGGAGGGTAAAAACTGAGCAATTGGGTGGAGAAGGAATGTATAGGTATGCTGTCTAAAACTCTTTGGGCCAAGGTTGTGCTACAGCCTCTTTGCACCAGCTTGGGGTGGTGGGCAGAGAATAACACTGGAACGGATAGCCACTGCAGATGTCCCATAGCTAACACTGCCAGCTCTGCCATCTCTGTGGCAGCCATGGACACAGGGGTCACGGGAGGTGGGGAAGACAGCCCGGGCATGCTAAAGGAGGGAGGGGCATAGGAGGATGGGAGGAGGTTTAGCTACAACAAACCTGCAACCCAGTGATTCTGTGACTCTGGCAAGCCCTATAGGGACACATTTTGGGGCCTCCCTCCAGGATTACATCATTCAATCTTATTATCTATTTGAAGTTTATTGACAGGTAAGAACTAGGGGGCATAAAAAGAGAGACCATTTATAAGAAGAACATAAGGACATGCTATTTTACCAAGTGGTAAACTAGTGAACTCAGCTTCCAATTGAAGTGGGGAAATCAAATGTTGTTAATGTATTTAAGCAAAAATTGGATAGCTAAATGGGACTAAGGGCTTGTCTACACTTACAGCGCTGCGGCACAGCTGCACTGGTGAACTGCAGCGCTTAGTGAAGAAGCTATCCCATTGGCATAGGTATCCACTCCCCTGAGAAGCGATAGCTACGGTGACTGGAGAAGCCCACCCATCAATATAGCACTCTCTAAGCTCGGGGTTAGGTTGGTACAACAGTGTGAGCGACATCTTTATACTGACATATGTTTGTAGTGTAGACCAGTACTTAGTAAGATCAAGGAGTATTAGTTTTGTGCTTGTAGGAGCCCATCCACCTTTCTGGAAGTCCAAAGGGAATTTTTTGCTGGTCATGGTTTTCTTCCCCCAGACTAGCTATATATTTTGCTTTCTGGTTTTACGGGTGAGCTTTCTTGACCATCTTTGGCACAAATTGTTTTAGAAGTTTACATAATGTAGGTGAAAGATTGTCAAAAATTCCCAGACAAGGAAAGCACCTGGACTGTCCCTGGGTCTACAGTCCATTAGGCCAAATGGTGCTGTCCTTATTAGAGACGTGTTCCATTGAAGCTAATGGGAAATTTGTTCAAGAAAGCACAGCAGAATGTGGCCTTATGTAACTATAGCTCTAAACCTGCAATCAAATCCATACAGCGGCTCCTTATGTCTGCACAGACTTGAAGTAAAAGGGCGCTCTCGACAGGTGCAGAGGTCTGCCTCCATGGATTCATGGCGGGAAGCGGCGCGGGCCGAAGGATGTGCTGGCCACGGCTTCCCACAGCTCCCATTGGCCTGGAGCGGAGAACCGCGGCCAATGGGAGCTGCGATCAGCCGAACCTGCCGACGTGGCAGGTAAACAAACTGGCTCGGCCCGCCAGAGTGCTTACCCTGGCGAGCCGCGTGCCAGAGGTTGCCGACCCCTGCCCTAGCCAGTTTATTTCTCTGAAAATGCAGGATAGTTCCCTACAGTGTATTTTCTACTGCTTCTTCCAGTCAACTTAGAAAGGCCTCAAATGATGGAACTTCCAGCTCTTCTCCTAGAAGACAATGCAGTGTGACAATGAAAATTATGATTTTCTCTAGCCTTGGGAAAGTAAACTTGTTGAATTGCTTATATATAGACACAGCCAGCAATTATTATGGATCAGGAAAACAAACAGAACCAAAGAAAGAAAAATAAAGCTATTTTATTCTTAAAACTGGTCGTATTTTTGTTGTTTTCAGTTTTTTTATACCATAAACTTTATGTATAATTTATTAATACTGGCTGAAATGTATCTCTGGCTATTTGGAGAGGGGAGAATGGGAGGTGATGTGATTAATTACAATTAATAAAATATTTGTTAAAAATAGAAAAATTTGGGGGTTTTTTAATGCTGAGGCCAGTATGTGATAGTTCACCCCGCTGCAGCAGGATTTCATTATTCCTACACTATCTCTAATAGACAAGTGTTTTGTCTAGTCTTAAATATTTCCAGGGATATTGGTTACAAAACTTTCCTTGGCAGCTTGTTCTATTGCCTAACTGCTCTGATTAGGGGTGGGTGAAGTCTGTGGAATTAGATGTTCTATGTTAGTGTCTCAACCAGTTTTGGGGAGATTCACAAAACTAGTCTGAATTTGTGATCCATTTATTGTTTAACTTAAACCAATTGCACCTCTCTATTCTCCACCCAATTGCTGGAAGCTTGTGCTATGTGTTAGGGATAGAAGAAACCCCAAAAAGCTAGACTGCCATAACTTGGTGCCCATTATATGGTACGCATGCTATATTTTTGCTGTGGAAATTCTCCCCCTCTTCCTCAGTCTCTGTGTTTTTAATCTGCCACTCTCTGCTTCTCTTTTGTCCAAAGAGCCTCTCCAATCCAAAATGCAAACAAAGACTGAACCTTCAGTCCTACAATGTGTTCAGAAATTAGGTAAGACAAGTTTGCCTATCCTTACTTCTCAACAATGGAGTTAAAGGCTTGCTGATTCAGGCCTTGAATAATTTTTTTCCTTCTGAAGCTTAAGATCAACTTCCCTTGTTCTACCCTAGCTGAACAATGAAAATAATTGATCACTGTAATTCATATATATTCCTTTACATAGCTGTAGAATTTAGTGACTGTACACATAAAATTCTATTTGGAGCCTCATATTAGTTCAAAATATATAATTTGGGGGAGATATGTTTCACATTACATTTGGAATAAACATTCCTCATACTAGAAAAGGATAGTGCTATCAATGATGTATTTTGTACTGAGACAGTTAGCCAATTAAACAGCAAGGCGCATCAGAGGGTGTGGTTTAAGCTACAACATGGTTTGGTTTGGGGCAACATGAGGCATTAGAAACCATTGCCCCCTAGAAACTCCCTGGCTGCTGTTATGAAATTTATTTCAGTTTTACCCATAAGTTATTTCAGTCATTTACTTTGATTGCTGGAAATTGTCAATTAGCGTTATAATGTTTTAACGCCGAGGTTCACAAAAGAAGTACTTAACCACTTTGGAATAAAGAGCCTGACACAGACTCAGCTGCTTTCTGTAGCTTATAGAATATGACAGTGGATAAATGTTTTAGAATGTTTTGTTGGCAAGCTTCAGTCAGCATTGTTAACAAGGTGCAGTGGGTAAAGTACCACACAAAGAATATTTCTGTTCCTATGAGCCAACATTATTTCTCCTTATAAATATATGGAAATACCTTCAAATACCTGACTACACAGTCTCCAAAGAAGTCTTTTTACCTTTGCAATTAACACCACCCTTCACTAGTTATTAGAGAAATCTTTCTTCTTCTACATTTTCTAATGGCACAAGCTGTCAATGTGCAATTTAATGCTCTGATCAGCTCTGGTCACATATTGTGTTTTAACAAGAACGATTCAAGGACATTTCTCACAAATTAATACGAAATATATCCTAAATGCTTAAATCTGCTTCAAGGTTTAATGTCAAACACTTGAAGATGTAATTATTCAATCTAAAACCACAACAAAAAATTACCTTTGAATTAATTCCATGCTCCAGTGCAGTGAAAGTCAAACAAACAAGTTACAGTTCAAGGCATTGTTTTTTGAGTGTTTTGGTTTTTTTCCCCCCATCTGATTGAATGCTTAACCAAGGCGCTCACTTTCTCAGTGCAAATGTAGCACAGAGTTCACATACTGACAACTCATGTTAATATTTAACTTGGACTGGTAGAATGGAGAATTCCCTGCATGTTGGAGGAATCAATGCACAGTGTCAGTGACTGGAAGAACTAGCCCTGACATTACATTCATTTAGAGTAAGGCCAGAACTTTCCAGCATACCGGTCTGCGTATTAAAATGAATGCTGCCGGTTTTCCAGTTTAAACTAAACATTGCCCTGACAGTCAGCTACAAGTCAAGCCTTGCTAATAAATGCTGCTCATTCTTGGCACAATTTTTAATCACACACTCCAAGCATGTATATCTACACTGTGATCTGAAGTGGAGTGGTTTCTTTAGACATACCTGTGCTAGCATGGCTAAAAATAGCAGTGTAGATACAGCGGTGGCACAGGCTTCAGCAACACAATTAGACGCGCAGGGTCTCTAGCGTGCTTGTACAGGCTGTGCCAAGGTACAAAAGTGGGAGGGCCGGGGGCCCCTACCCCCGAGGCCCCGCCCCAGCCAAGCCGGAAGCCGGAGGAGGTCGGGGGCTCAAAGCAGCTCCCTGCCCACCCACCCCAGGCCCCCCACCCAGGGCAGGTGGAGGGACCCAGGCTCCCCACAGCTGCCCATGCAGCTCTCCCCAGTCTGACTCTGGCTGGGGGGGGGCCCTTGGAGCAACAGCCCGGCCATGATAAGAGCCATGCAGGCAGCTGTAGGGACCCACAGTGGACCCTCCACCTGCCTTGGACGGGAGGCCTGAGCAGCCCCCAGCGCATGTCCCTGCCCCCAGGGCAGGGGGAGGGTCTTTGCCGCAGTTCCTCAGAGCTGCCCAGGCAGCTCTTACCTTGGCCGGGCTGTGGCTCCGAGGTGCCCCTTCACCTCCCCAGCTGAAGCCTGGTCAGGGAAAGCCATGCAGACAGCTGTGGGGAGCCAAGCCGGGGTCATGGACCCTCCACCTGCTCTCAGCCGGGCAGGGAGCCCAGGGAGTGGGGACATGGGCTAGGGGCTGCTCTCAGCCGCTCTCCCCCGCACCCTGGGTAGGTGGCGGGTCCACCTCAGCTTCCCACAGCTGCCCGGGCTCCCCAGCTGGGCTGCATGCTGGCCTGGATGGGGGGTGGGGCCTCGGGGAGAAGAGATGGGGAAGGAGTGGATCCACCCTGGTAAAAAGTGGATGGGCCAGGCCCCCCCACCTTTCAAAAAGTGGGAGGGCCTTGGCCCCCTAGCCACCCCCACAGCACAGGCCAGGGTTCCGTCACTCCAGCCCAGAAGAGCGGAGATTAACAAATAAATCAGAAAAAAAATCTAAACAAAACACTCCCAAATTTTACAGTTCTAGTAAGTATTTGCAATTAATCCTACCATGTAATTCAGGCTCCCAGCAGTGGGTAAATACAATTTCCAGAAGGGCTGGGCTAGAAAAGGAGTTGTCTCCACTGTTGAACCTTAATAGGAAACTTAATATAGTTTGTCTGCAATTAAAAGTAGATTTCATGTTAATCTGACTATTTGCTGGATTTCTGGCCCCGTCTACAATGGATCTTTGGAACCATGGTTGAAACCTGTTTGGAATTTGGTTACAGGCAAACATGTTTTATACACCATGCCCACACTATTCCTAATCAAAGTTTATAACCATGCTGTAATGCATTGTTCTAGCTCTATTCAAGACTTAAGCTATAAAGTAGCTGTGGCACAATCAATTTACTCCAAAGCCTTCTCTCTACACTAAAAAATGTTCTAAATTTTCCCCCCGTTGCTAGCATCAGTTCAGCTTTACTAGCATTAGTCACATGAAAGTAGATGGACCACCAATATTTTTAACACTGTTATGTAACCTTGCTCCTCTTGAACCAGATTCTGAGGCCCTTACTCAGGTTGGGTACAGCTTACTTCACAAGTACTGCCATAAGACACTAGTCAGTACTAGCAGGACTGATAGCACCATGTGTTAAGTTTGCCCAACACTTCCCATTATAAAGACCCTCTTTCAGCTGCTCATAACTTTGCCAGACTAACTGTCCAGGCTGAAATTTTCCATGCTGGGTGTTTGCTTCATCCTAAAAAAATTTCGAAAATTTCAGCCTAAATAGTTCAGCCATTTCTGAGAAGGAGGCTGAGAAAATACACAGTTTCTCTGTGTTAAAAAAAATAATTCCTGGTGATCTAGTGCCCCATATTTTGGAATAAGGAGTTCAAATTTGGAAGGAGGGTGGCCTTTGTGTCAAGGATGCTTGAACAATTGCATTTTAATTTGCCCATGCTCAATAGAGACTTGTTAGCACTTAAAAGAGCAACTAAGCATGTTCGAGCTAGGGTGACCAGATGTTCCAATTTTATAGGGACAGTCCCGATTTTTGGGTCTTTTTCTTATACAGGCTCCTACTTATATCTGCAGGCTAAATAGTCTACACTATTTACAATGGCTAACAGTAGCCAACATGCCACTCACGAAGACCATTGCTGGTGTCCCCTGAAGGTGTAACAGATGGAGCCCAGGGAGAAGAAAGAAGAGCGATGAGACAAGACTCCTCGAGAAAAAGGCTGTAACTCAAACACATGGCAGGCCAAGAGGGGCAGAGGGAAGACAGGATACAGCTTAACTGATGGAGCCTTTCCTATGCTAGGGCTATGCTGGTGGAACTGCTCTGGTGGTAGCACTAGTGGGAATTTGGTAGGCCTGCCCCTTCTGAAATCAAGGGCGCACGTACAAGAGTCTCACTATGAATTGACAATGACATCTAATGGAATAAATGCCACTGCCAGTTAATTGTGTGAGGGTGTGTAGAATATTGGAATTTCTTCAGGTTATAAATGTTTTAGCGATCACTCTTTACTGCTGTGTATTACTTTTAGATAGCCGATTTTTAAGTGCCCAGAGTTACAAATGTCAGCATTTGATTGATCAGTGTGGTTTTGCTGGCTTACCCGCTCTGTTGATTTGAACAATTCATTCGTTAATATAGTAAAACACATGTTCAAGATTACAAATTGTTTAACAAGTTTTGACAAACAATTCCCTTGGTGGTCTTGAAGTTTCTGAGAAGCAGATGGATGAGGTACAATTTTATAGATTCTCTCTCCTATTTGGGTAAAGCTGTAAGGTCTGAAGTAGGCTTTAGTGTAAACAGGGGACACTGTCAGACAATAAAGAGACAATTGCCGGTGTTAGCACAACAATTAATTTTGTTTGCTGAGCACCAATCTGTCTATTTGTTACCAGGAATGTGCTAATTATTCCTGCTAATTACATGCAAAACATTCATTATCACCTATATGTGGAAGAGGACCCCTCAGGTTTCAGTGACAAATTAATTACTGTGTTTTCCTTCTGAATGTACTTAGACTGTCCCTGTTATTATCTACAAAATAAATTGGCTAGCGGGAAGCTTGTCTCTCAGAGACGTTCTGCAAACTGAAAAGTAGATGTACAAATATTGTTATCTAGTTACTATTCCCTTATTTTTTTTCAGGCAGCTATTTTCTGAAGCTCTCATAACTATAATATTAATTTACAAACTCTTAATTTTCATAAAGTAGACTGTGTACTGTGCTATGTTCCATTATGTAATTGCTTTAAAAAAAATCAGAGCTTTATAGGCATCTACAGTACAGAACAACGGAGAAAGACAGGATGTATTCAGCCAAAAGAAAGAATATAGCTGACACAAATCTAATGGTCAAATACTCCACAGCCAAATAAAATTCAGACTCAACCTCATTGCCTAAAAGTAACTTAAAATTAAGAATATGTGAAATAAACAGGAGGATGCAAGTGCCTGTAGCTATAAAGATCTCATTACCAAATCTCTAGTTCAACAGTCAAGTCATTTTCCCCATGTCCTTTTTGGAATATCCTGAGTTAGGCCTGGTTTACCTACCTGTATGATTATTTTCAGTTAATTTTAGTTAGATGTGGGATTGGTTTTTTTGGTTGGTTGTCTTCCTCCCCCCCCACCCCACCCCCACCCCAAAAAAGTAAGTAGATCAGTCAACTTCTAATGTGGACACAGTTATACCAGTATTTATAGGGTTGCCAATTTTGGTTGGATGTATTCCTGGAGATTTCGTCACATGACATAATCTTTAATTAAAGATTAATCTTTAAATCCTGGAGACTCCAAATCAATCCTGGAGAGTTGGCAACCCTAAGTATAAATCTGCCCTCTACCATGGTAGCTCATTGCCCTTCCTATATAGGAATAACTATAAGGACTTCTATTCCCTCATATAGCTGCATCCACACTGGGTGGGTGTATCACTTTAATTATGCCACTATAGTTAAAGTGGTACAAATTCTGTGTATAGACAGGGCCTTAGGGATGGAGAGAGGTTATGATGCCAGGAGCCTTCACAGAGGGTGTACACTACCTGGACACTCAAAACTTAGATCTGTGGGGGTTACTAGCATAGCCATATGCAGTCAATCACTGAGAGAGGAAGGATGAGGAGGGGCAAGCAGGGTCAGAGGATCTACCACTAAACAGATTCTCCAACCCTTAATACATGCAATCCTTAATCCCCATGCACAGAGGGGGATACCAGTCCCATGGTTCCTACTCATTGTCCATTCTGCAGCCTAGGGAGGGAAAATTACTTGCATCCTCAGCGATCCCCAGTGCCATTTTTAGTTGCCTGGGCTAGTTTCTGTGGGCAGTTTTTTGGGCCTTGTCTACATGACAAAAATATGCCATGTTTGAACAGGGGTAGGTACACTCAAGTTAGCTAACATGATGCTGAAAACAACATGTAGTTCCTGGGCTACACTGACTAGAAAGTTGTGGACAGCATGATGTGAGCTACCTCAAGTACTTCCAGTTGTAGTCAAACAATAATGTTTGGCAATGTCAACAAACACTGAAAGGTTTAGTAAAATTAACTTAATATAGAAGTATGAAAGAGTTGACAGTGAAAAAATTAAGGACCATAATCAGAGCTAGAAACCTGTATCAGATGACACAGAATTATTCAAACCACTGTAATATACGAATCATTTCTCTTCCAAAAGGGTAGTCATGACCTTTTCTGTCATCACATCCTCCCCTTCGAACCCTTTCTGGTCTACCACTTGAAAAGTATTGGCATTCTAGTTTTATTGCAATTATTATGGCCTCATTTTCTACTGTAGGTTCCTGTGGGTAAGCACCCAAACCTGTTCTGAGGCACCTAAATATAAGTAGCCTGACAGTCAAGGTGCTGAGTACCCACAATCCCTCCTGAAGTCAGCATTGCTATTACTTAGGTCTCCAGATATAGGTTCAGGTGCCAAAGTTTGAAAGTTT